GGTTGACGTATGGGCCTAGTCTACACTGCTTCCCCCATCAATCTAAGACAAGTCATGTAGCTGATGTCAGCATATTTAACATGGTGTCTTCCATGCGGGCAGAGGCAGCTCTCCCATCGACTGACGTCTCTTCTCGGTGTGGTGGCATACAATGGGATTGTGCTTGGAGGTGGGCTCATAGCGTTTAAGCAAATGCGATAAATTGACCACTGATGGATTGATCGCGGCAGTGCCCGTCCACCATGTAGTGAAGACAAGCCCACAGCCATGGCAGTAATTGCATCCTTTCCACGTCCACGCTGCACTGCCTGTGTCCTCACGAAGGGCACTTCACCAATTTCACTGTCAGCCATGGGCAGTAGCGGCAGCAATACTCCAGGCAGGTGATGCAGCGGCAGCAAAGCGCCATGCCTCGGGTGGAGGTGGAGTTGAGTTGCAAAGGTGGAGGCTGCATTATAGTGCTACCCTAATGCTGGTGCAGACCAGGCCATAAGCTGACCAATACGGTGTCCTTGCAGTCTAGTCTGACACTGACCACAGCATGTGAACTGGCTGTAAGGAGTGGCTGTGCTGCCTTCTGGTCAGCTGTAGAATATGGAATGGGCAGAGGGCTTTCCCTGCCTTCTACTCACTGGGCTCCTACTCACCTAAGTGCCTTCACAGCAGACTGGAATACAAACTGTGGAGAGACCTCAGAGCTCTGAAGGCACCCACAAACAGGCTGCCATCAGTGGGAGTTGGAAGGGAAAATTGGGCTCCAGGTTCTTCATGCCTCACCCTGGACAGCCCTGGCTGAGAGCAGGTCAGAAAGTCATGACCCTGGGGCTGACCTCTGCCCAAGCTGGTCTGAAACCAGATGGGTTTCCTGAGGGCAAAGGGATAGTTGGATCTGGGTAGCAAGGCCTGTGGAAGACGAGGCTTGGATCTGATGCGCTGATTGTCTTGCTGTCGGTCGCTGGCCTGTTCAGCCAGATCAATAGAGGCTTTGCTAGGTCTAAAGTCAGCTGGGAGGGGGACTGAAGTGAGGAAGTTGGCCTTAGGGCGGAAGACACACCTAACTTGTGAGTGAGTGGAAGGAGGTGCCCTGTGAGATAAGCAGGCAGCACTGCAGCTAGGAGTCCAGGGACAGCCCTGCACTTGGCTGGTGCAAATCTACTCTAGCTGTAGAGACTCTGCTGTGCAATAGGGGTGGCCACTCCCAGGCCTTGGTTCAGCTCGTTATTTGCAGCCTCATAAGGATTCTTTTGTAATTGGTATTGTCATATTCTAGCTAAGCCAGCAGTTGTCATGGGAACATGGACACTGCCACCCTGGCTTGTTGCAGCCCTGTGTGTTCTGGGTAGAGTGCAGATCACAGGAGTCGGGCCCAGATGTCTTCTGGCTTTAGGCTGCCACTAACAGGGCCTTACTTGTGTGAGGAGCCCTCTTGGCCCATGGGCTGTCTGGCCTGTCGGGCCCCTCAGTTCCTTATGGGGAGTAGGGTTGGGACTGCCTTGCCTAGGAGGAGCTAGTACTGGCCCCTCCCCTGCAGGCGCCGCTCCCCCAGCACCTGGGCAGCATAGTTATTGCACTGCCAGCCCTGATCTGCAGCTCTGCCCTGGGTGGCGCAGTCAGGAGGTGGAGAGCCTGGGGGAGCAGGGAAGGAGTTGGGCCATACCTGAGTGTTTGGGAGGCACAGCCTTCCCTGCCTCTAGGCTCTCAGGCCAAAATGTCTGCCCACCCCAGTACTAAGCTGTCTCACTCTGTCCAAGACTCTAAATGCAAGTTTCTGTACCCTGAGGATCAGAGGGCTCCACATGCAAAGTGGCTTATGGTTGCCTCCCTGAGGCTGGTGGCAGTCGGCCCCAGCTGCTGCTTGCTCTGCAGGTGCATTGTGACATGGGGGGGGGGGCGCTCCTGCACAAGGTAATGAAACTAAGCAGGTTTCTGTTGCCTCTGCAAAGCTGTCGGGAATGTCCTGCCTTCACTGTGGGGGGGGGAAGTGGCAGTGTGCGGAAACCAGCTGTGAGGCGAGTGGTGAGAGGGTAGAACCCCAGGGCAGCTGCTGGGCCGAGGCAGACTTAAAGCACCAAGTAGCCAGAAGGGAAGTCACGGTAGGTCCCCCCTACAGCCATGGTGTGGGAACGACACCTCGCCTCTCCAGCGTCTGTGCACAAGGACATAGACCTTTCCCTTTTGGTGTTCCTCTGGCCATGCGCGGACTGGAGCCAGACCCATCCCTGGCCAGTTCCTTTGTTTCCCAACTGTAATCACCGCCTGTGCTCTGTCACTGGCTCCTGTCAGCTCTTCTGGCCTCCAGTGCTGTGCAGAATTTCAGGGGAAGCTGGGGTGCAGGCTTGGTTGAAACCTGCCACAGAGGTACTGGCCTCACCCCTGCTAATGGTCCAGCCAAGGAGAAGAGCTGACAAGGCTCTTGAGTGATCACTACAGACACATTGGCACTGGCTTCTCCCATTGCCTCCCGGCTCCCTGGGAAGCCACAGGGCCTGCAGGCTGCTCTGGGACATGTGGCAGTTAGGCTGGGTATTTCAGCTCTGAAGGCCATGCCAGACTCACCAGCTCTGCTGCACTGGAGTGGGCTCCTGGATGGCCCCCCCATGACTTCTGAGCTCCTAGGAAGAAATGAGACTTCCCTGGACGGGGGGGATGGCATTACTGTCTTAGAGCAGTGGTTCTGGGGGCCAGGCCTGGGGTACGCTGCCCTCGCTGCTGCTGTTGGGAGAGGCATGTCCTGGCCCCTTGGCCCACCAGGGCAGGGCAGGGTCTCCTCCCCAGTGCAGAAGTGCTTTCCTGCGTGTCAGGAGGGCCACATGAAGCTGCTCCACCCAGTCCTCGCACAGTGCAGGAAAGCACTCTTCTGCAGCTGGAGGAGACCCTGGCATTGGATGGCTGCGAGGCGGGGCAGGACACGCCTCTCCCAATAATCATGGGGGGGAGGCTGAGCAGTATACCCTGGCCCCCAGAGCTGCTATGATGTGGGCAGCAACGCAGGGCTAGGTGAGGGGGGCAGAGCAGGCACTGGGGGCTCCAGGGACAGGGCTAGTGCTGGGGAGCTCCAGAGGCTGAGCTAATAGTGGGAGGGCTATGGGGGCAGGGCTGGCACTGCAGGGCTCTGGGGATAGGGCTAATACTGAGGACTGGCCTGGGAGTCACTGGGGGTTGGATGTAGTGGGGCTCTGGGAACAGGAGGCTGGTAATGGAGAGGGTCTGGTGGTGGCTCTAAGGGCTGGCGGGGTTGGGTGCAGAGGACCCTGGGATCAGTGGCTGGTGTTGGGGAGTAGTGAAGGGGTGGGGGGCTCTAGGGGTTAGGGCTGGCTCTGGGGGCTGCACTTTTGGTGGACTGGCAATGTTTTTGCCTATTCATCTGCATAATGAACATGCAAATGTTGCCGGTCCACCAGGAGTTTGTCTGGGTATCGATGGCTGGGACCCAGGCCCTAGAGTGGCAGGTGGATCTCCAGAGACGTGAGACGGCCATGAGTCAGCAGGGAGCAGTGGGCCGTGGCTCCGTGGGAGTGTTCATCGGCAGCCCCAGGCTGGGCGGTAATGGGCCTGAGTGTTCTGCAGCCCCTCTGGCATCTTTCAGAGGCTTGTCCCCCACACAGGCTTGGCTGACCCCTCCCCTTGGCCCAGGGGAATGGCTGCAGTGGCAGCTATGGCAGTGAGGGGGTTTCCTTGGTCACTGCTGTAAACCCGCCTCTGGCAGCAGCGTCACTGGGAGAATTGTCAGCCTAGCAAGATCTGCAGCCAGGCTTGAACCAACATAATTGGTGCACAGGGCATGAAATCTGTCACTGATCTGTGCTGGAGCTAGGTGGCCCAAATTGGGTGGGGACCAGGCCTGAGGCTCCTTGTAGCTGCAGTGACACCTCTGCAAAATTCCCTGTAAGCTGAGCAGCTGCCTACTTAGCCTTAAGTGCCTGTGCAAGGTGGGGAGGAGGGCTGCCCCACCCTAGCCTCCAGCTTGATAGCCAGGAGGGAGGGTCTGACCCAGGCACCTCTTCCCTAGCCCAAAGGCAACAGTGGCTGGAGGGACCAGCCCCTTACACTTGCCCTGCACCCCAGACAGAGCCCTTGCACCCAATCCTCTGTCCCAGCCCTAAGGCCATCAACCCTAGCCCTGTCCTAGAGCCTGCACCTCAGTCCTGCAGCCCAGGCCCAAGCACTCAGAACCCAGTGGCCCTGCCCCACCACATGAGTGTATAGTCACTGATATGAAGGTGGTGTGGTGCACCACCTCCGTATTTGTGCCCATAACAAATTTCATTCCGCTCAGGGAACCTGGCTCCTTAGTGGCCTGTGGGGCTGACTCCTGCCAGGCCTGCCCTGTTGCTGCAGCTGTAGAATTCCCTTCACGGCATTCTGAATTAGAACAGTTCTTGAGCTCCCCCTCTGTCCAACGTCCTGCCAAGTGACTGAACAAGCGTGTGGCCACATGCCAGGCTGCTGTTCAGGGTTCCCAATGGAAAGGCTGCTAGTGACCAGCCCTGGACAGCACCTCGGGTGCAATCCCGCCTGGTCCAGGGATCCCCCAAGCTGCTGCCTCCAACAGTTGAGCTCAACTTGCACTTGCTGGCTGACTTGAAACTTTGCTCCAGCCATATGGTCACAGCTCTGCTGGCCACATGGCTCGTTCCCCGGCAAAGTGCTGGCTGCCACATTCACGGAGTGGTAGGCTGCTGCCAAGATAAAGGAGCAGCGTTCATCCTAGTAGCCGGCCTTGCACGGTTCTGGGTCATGGGGAAACGTGGCAGGTCATGTCCGTGCAGGTAGAGGCTCGTTGGGCAGGTACCTGCCTGGATTCCTGGTCAAGTTAGACTTGTATTTGTGGTATGTGGGACACTGGCATGGAGCAGCTTCCCTGCATCAATCTCAGCCCATTAAAGAGTGCCCAGAGTCTCCGTGCTGTAGCTGGGTTGAGCGATGCTGCTTCCATAGCGGTCGGTGGCTGCAGGGAAACTGACCCAACAGCACTGAGGCCCTTCTAACTGCTAGACCCACTGTAGACTGTCCTCTCCTCCCTAGGCTGAGGCAGAAGTTGCATCCTTGAATCGCCGTATCCAACTGGTAGAGGAAGAGCTGGACCGTGCCCAGGAGCGTCTTGCCACGGCGCTGCAGAAGCTGGAGGAGGCGGAGAAAGCAGCAGATGAGAGTGAAAGGTGAGCTGCATGACAGATGCATCAAGTCTCCTGCAGGCTCCACTCCTCTGGCTCTGCTCTAATATTGCAGAGTCGGCTGTTGGAGATGAGGGTGGGGGAAGCAAACAGCAGTGGGGCAGGACGTGAGGGACTTGCTGTGGGTCTCCCGAATGCTTGAGCACAAAACACTGAAACCTACAGATGGGTATGGGTTAGGGGATGTAAGCGACTAGTCAGCTGCCTGACCAAGCAAATGCTTATCTGGTAGCTGAGTAGGAACTCGACTAGTCACTCCCCTCCCCTCCCCTTGCTGTCTGAGGCAGCATGGAGATATGGGGAGCGGGAGCTGGTGCTGGGGCAAGTCGGCTTAAAAGCCGGTTCCTGCAGCACCATCTCCACTGGAGGCAGAGGGCAGGGAAATGGCAGGAGCAGGGATTGACAGTCCTACTAGCACTAGTGCTGACTGCAGCGCCTCTCCCTTTGAAACATAGAGCAGCCCATGGCTCTTGTACATTTCAAAGGGAGAAACGCAGCGGGGAGAGGGAGCGCCCCCTTATGGACTAGTCAGTGGAAATTCCATTGACTACTCGATTGACTGACTGAAATTCCACATGCCTAATGTGGATCACGGGCTGACGTATGTAGTGGAGGAGACTTGCCTGACTGAGGAGTTATCCCTTTCGAAGTCTTTTCAGGCGTCCATCCTCTACTGGTCACAACCTCCACCTTGAAAGACTTCATGACCTGATCTGGTCAGGTCATGCTCTAGACTGCTTCTGCTTGGGCCCCTTTGGGGTCTTTGTCCATGAGCAAAGATGCTGCTTAGCCAATGTAATAGCCCACTGTGCAGACTAAGGCAGCTCAGCCTCCTGCCTCAGCACTTGGTAAGTCTGCCTCTGTTAATGACTTGGGTGAGGCTTTCATCCAAGCTTACTCAGCACAGCTGTGTCCACATAGCTGTGGCTGTAATGTCACTGTAAGCTCTCCCATCCACAGAATATAGTTGCTGGTGCTCAGGGAGCTGGCTTTGTCAGCAGTAGCAACTTTCCTGAGTGTTGCATGCTACCTCTTAGACCTATGAAACTGTTGCTTAGGGAGTTGTCTGTCACACCCCTGAGTGAGGAAGCTTTGCTGAGTAATTGCGTAGACATGGCCTTAAACCAAGTCTGTTCAATCTTGCATACCTACCTGAGCAACATCCAACTGATGGAGTTTGACTTCATGGCATTCTGCTTCAGTGTTACTCACCCGAGTTTCCCTGCAGGTCTGAGTTGTGGGAGCCTGTTGCCAAAATGGGTGATGGTACCAGCAGTGTCCCAGTGACCCTGTTGTACCAAACAGCCTGTTACAGCTGAACCTTGGATTGCCTTCTCCAGTTACTTGGCTCTGCCATATACAGCTCACTCCAGGTGTTTAGGGCTTCACACTCAGCTCCTGCACAAGGAGAGCTAGGTAGGAAGGGGCTGCATGAATCCAGGATGGGTTGGTCCCATGAGCTCAGCAGTGTGACAGTGGTTCAGTGCTCTGGTGTAAGCTATGCCAGATAGCTGGCCTTCATGTAACACAGGAGTTGAGGTGCTCGTCAGATAACAAATAGGCTGCTGATGTGGCAAGCGTCTTGGATCCAGGTCATGTTCCCCATGAACCCTAATATGCTGGCTAGGTAGAACCCCCAGTGCCGGCCCTGCATTGAGCAGACTCTGAAGGCACTCGAGCCTAACGGCATTTCCATGGGCATTTCCATGTCCGTTGTGTGCGTCACCTCACTTTCTGTTGGCTTGGGCAGGGGCATGAAAGTGATTGAAAACAGAGCCCTGAAGGATGAAGAGAAGATGGAACTGCAGGAGATCCAGCTGAAGGAGGCCAAGCACATCGCAGAAGAGGCCGACAGGAAGTATGAGGAGGTGAGGCTCACAGCTGGCTTGCCTCACTGCTTGGGAGCAAGGTGGCTTTCCCAGTGGATCCTGCTGTGGGAAGTGTTGAGTGGGCCCCAGGAGTAGGTGTCTCTCCTGGAGGACATGCCACACCTTTCCTGTAAGGAAACTTCTGTCCTCAAGCCCAGGTGGCCCAAGTCCTTTGGGAGCCCTGTCCACAAGTCCCTAACTCAGCCACTGCCCATGGCTTCCTCTTGCAGGTTGCCCGGAAGCTGGTGATCATTGAAGGAGACTTGGAGCGCACTGAAGAGAGGGCTGAGCTTGCAGAGTCGTGAGTATTTTGCCATGGACCTCATCTGCATGCCTCCCTTTGCATGGGAACTAACACTACTGAGGCATCCCCAACCTTGTTAAACAAGGCCTGAAGCATAGGCTGAGGCGGGGCCCTTCGTGCTCTCCGAGTGGGGTCTCTGTGGGCATGGGTGCAATGTGCATATGGGCCAGTTTGCCTTGTGGTGGAGGCGGCCAGCTTCTGTGCATGGCACCACTTTGTACTGGTAGGATGAGTCCCCCTCTGTCTCACTCCTGTGCCCAGCACTGCTTGGTGGGTCACTACAGCAGCTGGTCTTCTAGCTTTCCTGGAAACTGCTGTGGGGCACGGAGGCCAATGCACAGTGCCCCTGCTGCTGTTGCCAAGGCCTCTGGACAGGGAATTGAAGCAGCACAAGGAGCCATTGAGCATCAGCCCCAGAGTCTGATCTGGGCTTAGGATCCAGTTCCAAATCGCTAGAGACCCTTGGGCAGAGCATCGAGTAGCAGGCTAATTCCTATGCGGGATGTGCACCGACACAATGGAAGGGCTTTTATTTCCTCCGGTGTGGCTGCTTTAATTGGTCTAAAGAGGGAAATCGGGGCCTTCCTGAGGCATCTTTTAGGCCTTGTATAACAAAGTCCCTTGTGTGCATGTACCGCAAGTAGTTGTGCTTCCCATCTGCCGTGCATGTCGTGACCATGACTCTTCTTTGTTTCCCCTTCCCTTTTTTGGCTCGGCTTTGTTTGTGGTGCTGCTGCTCCTTTTGACCCTTGTCCCTTGCCTGGCTTGTGCCATCATGTGACCGTCCCTAACAGTCGTTGCCGGGAACTGGATGAGCAGATGCGATCGATGGACCAGAACTTGAAGTGTCTGGCTGTGGCTGAAGAGAAGGTACTAACACGTAGTGTCAAAGGCCTTGTGGCCTCTTCACACGCCTGCCCTCAGCTCCTTAATAGCATCTCTCCTTCACTTCTCCTTCTGGAATGCTCCCTTCTGTCTCTCCTGCTGCCTGGCAAACCTCTCCCTCTGAGCGGGCAGCAGCCGCCCCTCAGAACAGCTTCTCTCCCCACAGCAGACTCACTAATGGTCAGTTTTTTGCGTGCAAGACTTTGGGTCCCGCATGAATCTGCATCTGGCTCTACCTGCTCCATTCCAGGGCCTTGCTGTCAGTGTGGACAAGGCCCTAAGTGTCCTGTCAAAGAACCCGTGTGGGTGTTCTGATGGCTTGGACGTGAAATCCCACCTGGCGTGCTCACGAGAGATCGGTCTCCAAGGAGCTCTCCAGGCTTCTCTGCTCACAGATTCACTTTTCGTCTCTCCTGTCTCCCTCCCACTTTTCTTTCCTCCTCTCCTGCCTGTTGTAAAACCTCCACAGTAAATGTTCCGAGCTGGAGGAGGAGCTGAAGAATGTCACCAACAATCTCAAGTCTCTTGAGGCTCAGGCTGAGAAGGTAGGGCTGCCTTGCAGAGGGCCTGCATGGGCCTCCTGGCTAAAGAGCACCCAGTGAGACGGGATTGCTCCCTGGGCTGTAGTAATTGTAACGGCCTTGGTATCAGGCTGACGGTTAGAGTCCATCTGTGCAGCTGGGGGAGTGGCAGCTGTGGGTGCCAATGGCTTTGGATGCAGAACTAGGTGCCATAGGCTGTGACCAGTGCTAGCAGGTGAGGTCATCTCCCAGCCTGTGTGGTCAGTGTCAGACAGTGGTCGCCTGGCTACGCAGCAAGCTTAACGCTGCCTGTCAGACAGTCTCGGGTTTGTTTCCAAACCACCTCTAGGGCCATCCTCCCTGTGCTTGGCTCATTGGCTACAGCGTCTGCAGGCAGGAATGTTGAGGTGCAGGAGCGAGCCTCTAACCTCTCTGCAGCCAAGGTCTGGACTTAGGTCCTGAAGTCTGAGTTGCTCTTTGTGGAAGGCAGTTCCTAGCCATTCGCAGTGCTGGGATTTGACTCTCTGCCTCTTCCACAGTACTCTCAAAAAGAGGACAAATATGAAGAGGAGATCAAGATCCTGACAGACAAACTCAAGGAGGTGAGTGGATGGAACCCCTGTTCCTGGGGTTATGGAGCTTAGCTAAACCCCTAAAAGGGGCTGTCTGCCACCAGAGGCCATCCCAGAAGCACCTCGTTCTGAGGCTGGCTAAGCTAGCTTGACCTCACCGTAGACTCCCGTATCCAACTCCTAGCACCATGTGTTGCAAAGTGCAGCAGTGCTGATGGTCCATCCTATTGGCTGTTTTGTCAGGCGGAGACTCGTGCAGAATTTGCTGAACGATCAGTAGCCAAACTGGAGAAGACCATTGATGACTTGGAAGGTACGTTCAGGGAATTGGGAAGCCAAGTAATTTAGGGTGTGGCCAAGATCACTTAAGATGGGCCAGTGGGGTCTGTTGCCCTGGGTACCATGGGGCATTGGTGCTGGCGCTTGTGGGGGGAGAGCTGATGGGCTACCCAATCAAAATCCTCTTTGTAGGTATGGCCTGTAGTGGTCCAGCCAGTGCCACGAGCTGCTGTTGGAGCAGCTTAGTCACTCAGCCTGGAGGCTGAGTAAGTGTTGTTGTGACTTGGCAGTTGGCCTGGAATAGCAGCTGGGATTCATTCCCATGAGAAGGAGCTATCCTGACCACACAAATGCAAGTAGAGTGCCTGGGCTTGAGGAAAGGCTATTGTATGGCATCCTGAGACAGCGGGATGTCTGTCAGATTAGTGCAGCTGAAACCATGGTCTAGGTTTTTATAACTGGGTACAAGCAAGTACCCAGTGTCTTCAAGTCAGCAGGGCCTGATGTCATGCATCCTAGAATACTCAAGGGGCTGGGGGTGGGGAAGAGGAATACCTGAGCCGTTGGCTGTTTTTGAAAAGTCATGGACTACAGGATTGATCCCCAGAAGACAGAAATGGAAACTGAGGATAACCTAGGAAATTACAGGAGTTGAGGTGACTGGTCTTGACCAGGAAAGGTAATGGAGCAAATAGGAATTCATTTGCAGACATCTAGAAGATAAGGTGATAAGTCAGCATGGATTTAAAGAACTAAGCATGTCAAACCAACCTGATGACCCTTCTTTGGCTAAGGGGGAAGTGGTGGACATGGAACGTGTAGACTTTAGTAAGGCTTTTGATTACAGGTATGACCTTTTAACTAACTAGGCTAGGGAAATACAGCCTAGACATGGCTATTAAGGTGGGCATGTAACTAGTTGGATAACTACTCTGGAAATTGATCCATGGTAGTCTCTGCTGGAAGAGCATAATGAGTGGGGTTCCACAGGGATAGGGTCTGTTCAATCTCTCAGTGATTCAGGTAATGGCATAGAGTACACTTACAGTTTGCAGATGATACCAAGCGAGGAGGGTTTCACGTCCTTTAGAGGATAGCATAATTCAGAGTGATCCGGAGTAATGGTCTGGGGTAAATAGAATGAAATTGAACAAAGACAAATGCAAAGTCCTCAACTTGGGAAGGAACAATCCATTCCACATATACAAAATGGGGAGTGACCATCTAGGAAAGACCTGCAGAAAGGGACCTAAGGGTCAGAGGACCACAAGCTAAATAGCAATCAACAGTGTGACACTTGCAAGAAAAGCAAACCCCATCCTAGGATGTATTGGCAGGAGTATTGTGAGCAGGACACAAGTAATTGTTCTGCTCTGGGCTGATCAAGCCTCCACTAGGGATATAATAGTGTAGTTGATTGAGAAGTAAAAACTTATAGGTTAATGCTATAGGCCAGTGTTTCCCAATTTTATTTGGCCGAGGAACCCTTTTCAGCTTTTCAGAATTTCAAGGAACTCCTAGGTTTGTCAAACAAAAGGGGGAAGGGGACGAGAGGAGAGGGACCCACCAATTCATGAAAATCACATTCCTTCCCCAAGACTCCCACCTCCCTTCCGTGAGGCCTCATCCGCTCTGTTCCCCTCCCCTCCATCACTTGCTATCCCCAGCCTTATATACTCTCACTAGGTTGAGACAGGAGGTGTGAGGTGGGAATGAGGGATTTGGGTGTGGGAAGGGGTGAGAAGTACAAGCTCTGGGAGGGAATTTGGATGCAGGAGAAGGGGCTCTAGGCTCGGGGAGGAGGCTCTAGGCTGGGGAGTGTTGGGCTCAGGTGGAAGGCTGGGGTGCTGAGCAAGCCAGGGCTTGTGCATGTGAGGGTGCAGGAGTTTGGGCTGGATATGAGGGACTCAGGGCAAGAAGGTTGTGAGTATGATGGGCTCAGGACACAGATTTGTGATGGGGGGATGGTGGAGGAACGTTGTGGCAGAAAACGGAGGATGTGGGGATGCAGGGGTTTGGGGATGAGAGGCTCAGGACAGGGTTCCAGTGTATGATAGGCTCAGATTTGGGGTCACGTGGTGCAGGAGTGTTATGATGCTGCAGTGAAATGGGGGTTTGGTCCCAATTGGGGGCTTGTTGGCCTGGCTTCATTTTTAAATAAAATGTCAAACTCAAGTTTTTAGCATTGTCTTTGAGAGGGGTGAGGAACCTGTTTTGGGTCAAAGGTCACTGACCTGCAGAAAAGTCAGTTGGGGCCACATGAGTGAGATGCAAAGAACAAAAACCAAAAAAACTCCTCCAAAAACCCCCAAGCCTCACTAATGTGGCTCCAAATGTGCTGGTGGGGGTAGGGGACAGTGCTAGTGGGTGCTGCTGGGTGGAAGGATGCTGGCTCAGGTGGTGGGGTGCTAAGATCAGGGACATGGTCCTGCTGGGCACTAGTGGGACTGGCAGGGGGCTGGGGTGTGAGGCAAGGTGCTGGGGCCAGAGTGGTGCTAGGGGGGATGGCAGGGCTGCCAAGGAGCAGGATACGGATGGGGTGCAGGATCTGGGAAGGATGTGGGGGGCAGAAGGTGTCAGGATCTGGGTGGTAGGGTGCAAAGGCAGGCTGGATGTAGGGTGTCTGGCCAGGGGGAGGGAGCAGGAGCAGATAGGGGGTAGGGTGTCTGGCTATGAGGGAGGGTGCAATGTAGGGGACTTGGGTAGGAGTTGGACCTCCCTGATCTGGCACCCTCTGGACCTGACTGGTCCCAGATAAGGAATTTTTGGACCAGGGGAGGTCATTTCAGGGCTCCTGGTCTTCCCCCCCCCC